CTGTATAAATCCCACATAAACGTATGTTTATACATCCAGATGCTATACGGTATTTAACCGTCTGACTAGCGTATAGCGTATTCTAGAAGACTCCACTAAATATAGTTGCAAGTTAACTAAGAAAAGTCGGCCTAATTTTGCTTTTGTAAATTCTCCAAAAAATATTAAAAGTCACTTTTATGTTAAGCCGTAGATGATTAGCCACGTGGCAAGATTAAAGCTTCAGCTGGATGAGTGGATATTGAACCAATCACGTCCAAATTTGCTAAAATATCGAGAGATACGAGAATTTAGCTTACTGTTCATTGTGCTATGGTTATTTCCGTAACTATTTCCGAACTTGAATGGCATTTCCATAACAAGTAGTGCCAAATTTTGCATTCCCTCTCACAAGCCAAAAAGAAACCTCTATTATTTTTGGTTTTAAACCATTTTAAATTTTTGACCCATAAAAAAAACCATTTTAAATTTATAAAGTATCGCACAACCTCACGTTTTATCTGACTCTGATCCCATTTCTCGCTAATTCTCTTTCAAATTTTTCTGAAGGAAAAAACAAAATCAGCTTCTTCTTTTCTTCAGGCTAACGGAGAAAGAAAAATCGCTCTGCATTTTCCCGGTAAAATCTAATTCTCTGTAAAGTTGCTTTGTTACTTTTTGGATATGCTGAGAAAAAAATTAGGGCAAGTGTCAATGGTGGAATGTGGAACCCAGTTTTTTTTTGTTTTCATCTTTAGGAACGAAATCGACATATATTAATGGTCATCTTCGGTGTAGGGTCTGGTTTAGTTTTCATGATCACGACGTTTGCTTAATTTTCATCCTCTGAAAACTAAAATTCTGATACATTAAAGTCATTTTCTACCATTTATTTCCCTACTTTATGATATCTAGCTATGTATTTTCTCTGGGTCCCTAATGGTTCCGTGATACACAAGGAAGTTGCAAAATAAAGTATTTTGTCCATGTAAATTTCCTAATTTAATTGGGAATAATTCTTGCGGTAAAAGAAATTGATGAAGC